CGGAGCTGAGGTCATTTGTGAACGGTCCCTTATACTACAATAGGCCTGCTAGCACAAGTAGTTCATTGCACTTTTTACTTTAAAATATACTGTGAATCTCAGAAAACGAAGTCATCGGGCACAACCCTCAATGTAGTTGAATTCGAGTGTTCGTTGTAGCTAAGTGACCAACAAGTTGCGTCACAATGCAGGGCCTATCAAACGGCCGGCTACGTCTGTTTCTACAGACTTTCTACAGATCAACGCGTAATTCATTTAGTAAATTTACATCATTTACCGTATGTCCAGACTAGCATTTCGTTGTCAAGTAGCTGAGGAGAGGGGGTGGATATGACTGCGACTCATTGCGACACATCTGTAGATCTCTGCCGATTTTCCACACCCAAAACGCCAGTGCCTAATCCCCCCCCCCCCCCCCCCCCAGGTCAGAAACATCCACTAACAGCCATCTGGCCGACCTCTCTTGACCCTGGCACACACAAAGACACGTCATGTCCGACGCACGTGTCAGCATCGCATGTGTTGATCAAGTTGGTGTGAAAGAAAGTTTCTGATCAGATGCATAAGAGGTACGCAATTGGCTAGACCAAGTGTGTAATGGTCCACGGTGCAAGTGCCATCGATGGCCTTTTAGAATAGAGTAAATAAAGTTCAATGTTAGTGCGTTAAGTCCGAGTGCGCTCATTTTAATGGTTTAAAAAAAACCCAGGGAATCTGTCTCCTACTCCTACTGTTGAATCCAAGTTTTCCTTGAGTCCAAGTTCCACTGTGTACCTCAAGAACACTCGAATTCAATAATATTAATAATAACACAAGTAATAATAATAATAAAAATAATAATAATAGATTGCACATATAATGCTGCATCCCATATAAGTATAAGCTCTGAGAGCTTTACATCAATCACATGATCACTGAGAGCAATTCAAGCAAGGTAAAATATTTCACAGAAATAAGAAAGAACAATTCAACCCCATAATAAAGAACTTTCACCTTCATACATTATATATATATATATATATGAGAGGCGGCGTGGTGAAATCAGGCGCTCGTCAAAATAATGAAAGTAAAAAAACTGGCATTTTTTCGCAGGTTTGGGAATTTTTATCAAATTTTTTGTTTTTGGCTCAACACCTTTAAATAACACAGAGTGGATTTTAATGAAAAATGTTGATTAAAGGCATAAAAGAAGTAAATTTTCAGTTTCCACGGGCTCTCAAGCTAAGGAAATAACTCAGCTTTGGCGGCCATTTCCCCGCTAATACAAGTACATTAATTATATATAGATCAGCACATAAGGACAGCAGTAAAAGCAAAACATATCAGCACTTACTAACACACTATAACGATGAATTAAACAAATGAGTCTTTAACAATCGCTTAAACGTATTCGACAAACATGGTGGTCGGGCTTACGACTTCATTATAACCGAGTTTCAGCGTTTTATTTCCACCTTCTCAATCAATGGCAATGAAACACGTATTCCTCTACCAAATCAAACGGGCCTCAACCACACATGACCCTCACTCCCTACCAAGCTAGCTATGTCTATAATTTTTCTTGCCACTTGGAAGTTAACAGCTTTTATCGGTTTATGTTGGATGAACTGTTATTATATTATTATTACCATTTCTATTACCATTATTATTATTACTGTTATTAATTTTTTATCCTTATTATACTCTTTACTTCTAGAAATTTCAGATTTTGCTGTACTCTGCTCGTTAATTCTTCCTGAACATGGTGTTCAAAACCGTCGTCTTCTAGTTAAAAAATATGTTTTCATGCCCTGATCATTACAACTTAGATCAACTGATAGACAAATTGCTTCAACCCTGCCTTTTAGGGCCAACCCAATATTATGACAAGGGGGGGGGGGAAAAAAACTTACATGCATTCAGAAATTTTAAATTTTATTATCAGTCATCTTGTTCTTTGGCTGTCTCATCTCTGTCACGGCTTGCCCATAGTCTAATAAAAAAATGCTTGACAAGTTTCACATTTGTGAAGAAAAGTTATTCTCCAATGTACTCTTTTGTGACCCTGAAAGCTACTGTCCTCTGCAAACCTTGCCCCATAAACTTCCCAATCGTAAGGTTGCCTTATAATAAACGAGTGATGTGCTGTGCCTTTCAAAGATCTTGAATTTCAAACTGGAAACCAGACAGATTTTCTGCTGCACGGGACTGTCTTTGTTCAAACAGACTGTCACTTTTCGCATACCTTACACGATCGCAGACATTTCAAACGAAAGGATTTTTCTCCTCAATGTATTCTTGTGTGTCTCTTCTGGTTGTTACTAAATGCAAATCCTGAACCACAAATTTCACAGTAGTAAGGCATTTTTTCCTAAGTGTGTGTGTGGAGGGTTTTTTAAGACTCTTTAGGTTGCTCATCTTTGAAAACGTTGCACCACAAACTTCACACTTGTTAAGCCTTTTTCCTGTGTGTGTTCTTTTCTTTAGTGAATCTTTAGACTTACACTGTCGGAACCCATCTGCGAGTGGTGATTTTTTTTGTGAACCCTTAGACTACTCGCCTGTGAGAACCACTTTCCACAGATTTCACACTTGTAAGGCTTTACTCCTGTGTGTGTTCTTCTGTGTCGCTTCAGGCCACCATTAAGTGTAAATCCTAAGCCACAGACCTCACACTTGTAAGGCTTTTCTCCACTGTGTATTTTTTGGTGAACCTTTAGATAGCCCTTCTGTGAGAAACTTCCTCCACAGATTTCACACTTGAAAGGTGTTTCTTCAGTGCGCTTTTTTTTGTGAGCCTGAAGACTACTAACCTGTGAGTGAATCTTTAGACTTACACTACCCATCTGCAAGAAGTGTCCTTTTTTGTGAACCCTTAGACTACTCGCCTGTGAGAAGCACTTTCCACAGATTTCACACTTGTAAGGCTTTTCTCCTGTGTGTGTTCTTCTGTGTCGCTTCAGGTCACCATTAAGAGTAAATCCTAAGCCACAGATCTCACACTTGTAAGGCTTTTCTCCACTGTGTATTCTTTGGTGAGCCTGTAGATAGCCCTTCTGTGAGAAACTTCCTCCACAGATTTCACACTTGAAAGGTTTTTCTCCAGTGTGCTTTCTTTTGTGAGCCTGAAGACTACAAAACTGTGAGAATCCAACTCCACAGATTTCACACATGAAAAGTTTTTCTCCGGTGTGTATTCTTTTGTGAACCTTTAGCTCTCTATTTTCTGCAAAGCGTGAACCACACACATCACATGTGTAATGTTTTTCTCCCGTATGTCTTCTTTCGTGGCGCCTTAAAGCGCCTTTTTGTGCAAACTGTTTATCACAAATTTCACAGCTGTAAGGCTTTTCCCCTGTGTGTGTTCTTTCGTGACACCTTAAATCTTTTTTTTTCAAAAACTGTTTATGACAAACTTCACAGCTGTAAGGCTTTTCTTCTGTGTGTGTTTTTAAGTGACGCCTTAAAGAGTCCTTTAGTGCAAACTGTTTACCGCAAAATTCACAGCTGCAAAGCTTTTTTTCTTTGTGAGCATGAGTTTTTTCATGATTCTTTAAATTGCCCTTTCGAGAAAACTGTCTATCACAAACTTCACACTTGTAAGGCTTTTCTCCAGTGTGTGCTTTTTGGTGAATCTTTAGGTCACTACTTTGTGCAAACATTGAACCACAAACTTCACACTTGTAAAGCTTTTCTCCTGTGTGTGTTTTTCTGTGACCCTTTAGCTGGCCCCTATTTGCAAGCCCTAAACCATCAACTTCACATTTGAAAGGCTTCCCTCCTGTACTCGTTCTTCTACCAGTCACAAACTTGAGCCCAACAGGAGGGGCGACACTATTTACTTGTCCAGTATGAGTCGCCGTGAGCAATTGATGTGCAGTAACACCAGAAGTCTGAGCCTGAGAACGGTCCATATTGACATTCCCTTTTAATGCCAATATCATCCTTATGGTAGGATAGCAATCTTTCGGCTTTGGGCTGCAATTATTATCATAATTTACATTTTTGCTGCACATTTCTTTACCATACACTTCACCATCATGATAGAGATCAAAGCTATTCTCCGGGTCATGGATAAACGAAGAAGAAGTTTCTTCCGAGACACAGTCAACTTTTCTTTGATCCGTCTCAAAAGTTCCGATGGAACGGACTCCGTGCCTCTGCTTCGTAAGGTAATGCTCATTATGCTGTGTTGCCGGGTGTGTTGAGGCAGTTTGCATACTGTTGTCGTAAGGAACGCCACCTGGAAAAAAGATAAATGATACACAGTTAGCCTATTTTTCTTTTCTAAAAAAAAAAAATAATCAACACATCCATCGACACAATTTAGATAATTATGCAGGCAGATGTCGTCAGGACCAACCCAGCAGATGAGATGTTGTAACGTCCGAGCAGAGAAAGACCTATACACTCGATAAAAAATCTCCCCACTCGGAAATCAAGCCCAGGTGTCCTGCGTGCACTGGAGATGCCCTTGACGGTTACCTACACAGCAGACGCCAATGTTATCTGACTGAGTACCCAAAAGACTTTTACTTTTACCAAACGAATCTATCACAGTAATATCAGAACTACTAGTACTAGTCCTGGCAAAATGTCGTCGTCTTCGAATAAAATGGCAGCCGACACACTCCCATCCATATCTTTCCTTTTAGTTTTGTTTTTCTCTCAAGCCCATAATCATTATATTATTTCAACCTTTCCAAACATGCACACATATCTCATTATGCTATAGTAAAACATCGGACTTTCATTATACCAAAATATATCATGCATACTAGAAAAAATATGAAGGTAGTGTGTGTGTGTGTGTGTATGAGAGAGAGAAAGTGTGTGTGTGTGTGTGTGAGCGTGTGTGTGTGTGTGTGTGTGTGTGTGCATGTGTGTGTGTATGTGTGAGAGAGAGAGTGTGTGTGTGTGTGTGTTTGTGTGAGAGAGAGACAAAGACAGTGAGAGAGTGTGTGTACGTGTGTATGTATGTGTGTGTGTGTGTGTGTGTTTGTGTTAGAGACAGCGAGCGAGAGAGAATGAGAGAGAGAGAGAGAGAGAGAGAGAGAGAGAGAGAGAGAGAGAGAGAGAGAGAGGAGAGAGAGAGAGAGAAAGTGCGAGCACACGCGCGCGTGTGTGTGTGTTTGTTGTTGCAGATGCCAGGTCATAAACACATTAGTCAGCTTATTTCTTACTTAGTCACCCCCCCCCCCCCCAATGTAAGGTCTGGTATAGTTTACAGATTTAACACCCCACACGCCACTGTATCATCATCATCCAGTGCCAGATCTGCGACAGGAGACATCAGCCATAATGTTTTCCCATTCATTCCTTTGCTTGGATGCTCTAAAAAAAAGCTACGTTTCCATGGTCTTTCCCTGTTACCCATTTGCTTATGTTCCCCAAGTAGATTGTTCTGGGCCTACTCCTGCCTCATCTGACTTCAACTTTGCCAGTGAGAGCTAGATGTTCAAGACTTTTCAGGAGTCCCAAAAACTGTATTTGTCGTTTCCTGATTATGTTTTTAACATTGCACGTCCCATGTGGGCTTCATCAAGCACAACCTCCTTTGATTTCTTTTCCTTCCACGATACTTTTAGCAGTCTTCTAAGAAACCACATTTCTGTTGCTTCTATTTTATTTTCACACCACTGTATACTCTCATAAATTATGGGACATCCAGAATCAATTGGTAAAAAACAATAAAACTGAAGATTCAACGAAAGGAGATGGATTCCCCCCTTTTTTTTTCTCTTTAAAATCAACAAAAATAACTTGGATTCAACGAACACTTAAATCAGCAAGCTTGGATTCAACGCGGTTCTTCCAAGGTGAACAGCCCAGCAGATGTGGCTTCAACTGGCTTCGCTCAATTTTCTCCCACAACGAACTTTATTCCCAGAAACCATCCATTGCACTTGCATCGTGGCCCATTATTCACTTAGCCGATTGCATGCAACCAATCAGCGGCCTTCTTTTATACCAACACATGCCTCTCATTTCACTGGCTTACAGAAATCTAAACCTCTTGCCATCGGCACCGCTCGCGCCCCACAGCATGATTGTGCAGGTGGTGAACCAGTCAGCAGTGCAGTCAGCATCACTCCCCAAGCATCACTTCCCGTCCTTCTTTCTTTCAGCCTCTCATGGTGAGACAAGGACAACGTTTTGCCTGTAACAATAACAAAGAAACACCTACCTGTGGCCAGAAAGGCTGTAAAGCCGGGTCTTTAATTGAGAATGCGAAGTGGATTTGTCCGAGATTCGAGAGTAGCGCGTTGGAGCGTGTTCCGGAACTCCGTGGAGTCAATACAAAGAAAGCATAGGGACTGAAACGTGACCAAGCATTATGTTCGAGATACCCGAGAATTCGTGATTTTCGTATTCAAGATTCAAGGACTCTACTGTATTAGGTGCTAAAAATTCCCATTACAGTGGAACTCGGTTTCAATGAAAAGACTTGGATTCAACGAAAGGATTCGGATTCCCTGATTGTTTAATTAAAAATAACTCAGATCCAACTAACACATATATAATCAAGCTCGGATTCAACTAAGTCACTTGCAGGGTGAACTGCTCTAATATGCGACCAATCAGCAGCCTCCTTTCATACCAACACATGTGTTGTTTTCACGCACTTATGTCTTAGTGTATGTCGGGGTTGAACAGGCAGCCAACACATGTGTGAAGTGTGACTGTGTGTGCGTGTGTCTGTGGGGGATGGGGGGGGGGGAGGGTACAAATGGTCCGGGCGAGGAACGTGACACTTTTTTTCCCCCCGGCTACTGATCAGAGATATTACAATGATTTATAAGCTAATCTTGACATAGATCTACGTAGTGAATTGCGCGCTGGACTGTGGAATCAAGCGTTGCCGTGTGCTAGACTCTACACAGCCACATAAAAATAACTTGATTGGCAAACAATACGTTATAATAGATAATAGATTACACAGGCGTGCATTTGAACACATCTACAGGCCCTTTTGCGCAACAGTGTATCCTTGGTAGAGTTCAGTGTATTTTCCTGGAATTTTCCAGCAATTCTTTAGTATCAAAGAAATGAAAATGCCTCTCATTTAAACAAAACTACTTTTGATTGAGAAAGCTGAATATATTACATTTCTTGCTCTGTGCCTGTAATTATCTCTTCCAAAAACCTCATATTTGCCAATAAACACTCGGATTCAACCAAATTGAAGGCAAGGCCCAACGACTTCGTATCACATATCTTTAAAAAATATAAGGGGGTGGCTGGAGATCAAGCGCAAACAAAAAGTTATTTTTAAAAAGCCAACAACAGCATTTCCGCATAAAATGAAAATCTTGCATCCAACATTCTAAACTACTACGTAAAAATGGTGAAAGAGAACAAAACTGCACCATTAGATTCAAAATAGTGGTCCCAGTAAACGTAAAAGTCTTGTAGGGAATTCTTTTTAAAAAAATAATAAATAATTCACGCTGCTAAATATGAGACACTGAATTCATACTTTGATAAAAACCCTAAGTTTAACTGACCCTACATGAAAAAGTATAATCCGCTTATATCAACATGCTTTGGGAAGTGGATTTGATGTCAATATAATATAAAAATGTTGATAAATGAAAATATACAAAGCCAAAGAGGAAAAAACAAGGGGAGGTCAGTGGTAAAAAGACAACACTATTTTTAAACTGGTTGCTTCCCTTGATTCACAACTACACAGTGAAGCTATCAACAGGCAGAGGAGAGGGGGTTGGAGTTACGGTACCAAAGACCGAGCAATGCGAGACGCCCACTACACACCAGCGCAAACTTTTTTGTAGCATCCTTGTAAGGCCTGTTCATAATTTATATATTATGGCCTGCTGCTAGGGAAAATGGAAAGGCGAGGCACTGACTCACTGACCATGGCACTTCACAGCGATAGACTGAGAATGGGATGAGGAAGGGGAGTGAGTAATCAGGAGTGGGGAAAGGGAGGTGATACCCAGCGCGCGAGACTCTCACATTTGTGAGGCACTGTACTGTACTGTGTTGGAGACTACACTGTGTAGACCCTAATGACCTACTAAAGCCTGGTGTGTCAAATAGGCTACTTGGCGGGTATGCGGACTTCATGAAGAACTATATGCGTTGACCGTTAGCGTGGCTTCCCCCCCCCCCATTTATGTTCACGGGCTTCGACAGGTACCCAGGAAGCATCTATAGGTGCCCAGGAATCATGTCGATAAAGCAGAGTGGGCTGAAAAAAAAGTTGATATACAGGTCTCCCCTTTTAAGGCCAACTTAAGAGGTTCCTTCACCCTTTGGTTTACTATTTTAAAGGGTATTTAAACCCTTGTTTTAGAAACTTAGAGGGTAAAAGTCAATATCTCATCATAATTTTATAGTACGATTTTTTGCTTGCAAACATTTAACTCATATGCAAATTCACACAGACACACATAGAGTGACAATGACTATGATTGAATGCTAACGATTTTAATTAACTTAAGAAATAAATGAGTACTATTGACTAGAAATAGAATTGTGTCCATTTGGATGGGTTAAGAGTGGTGGTGGTTGAGCAGTTGAGTCTATCAAAAATAAAATAAAGTTGACAAACCAAAAGGGGTCAACTCCGACTATAATACTCCAAGAAAAATAGACCTGCCACTCTATGAAATCTAAAAGTCAGGATCTCAGTGGGGGAAAAAAATTGGGATCAATAACAAATCACCTAGGTCACTGCCAAGCTGATTAAAAAAATTCCAAGGGTGTTCATTAAATTATTTATTATCATCACGTATATTCCCTCTGCGTGCGTGCGTGTGTGTGGTGCATGTGTATGTGTGTGCGCACGCACATGTGTGTGTGTGTGTGTGTGTGTGTGTATGTGTGTGTGTGTGTGTGTGTGTGTGTGTGTGTGTGTGTGTGTGTGTGTCTGTGTGTGTGTGTGTGTGTGTGCGTGTGTGCCTGTGTGTGTTTTATCTTTTTTTTAAAATCCTGAAGTATCATGTCAAGGTCACCTAGTCCAAGTGTCCCCCCCCCCTCCCTCCCCACGGATAAGTCCCAAAAGACGCTTCAACCAGTGTGCATGAGAGTGCTTCCCACGACAGAAAAGAAGGCAAGAGTAAGATTTTAGAAAAATCCGGCATAACAGGCGCAACAAAAAATTAAACCAAAAAACAGGGTATACGCGATCAAAATCGGGAAAATCGGGATGCTTGAGATTTAGGGCAGGGATGAGTGGCAGGTTTGGAAGATAAACTGATTCATTATTCTTCAGAGCCATCCCAGGGTTCTCACATTCCAGTCTTTCCACACTTTCGAAGACGGACAATTCATGTTTATATTAGAAAGTTAAAGAAGGATGGGGGTAATCTCACAGTAGGGGTAAACTCACGGCACGACACCGGCAAATGTGAGCGACAAGAATGTGGGCGGAGCTTCTGTCACGCTAAAGCAAGCCTGTGTTGCCGGAAACTGCGCGCAGCTGATAAGTAGGTCGACTAGTCGACTTCTTCTGACACACAGAAAGTGACTGTCGTGCAAGTGTGTGGGGGTGTTGTCAAATCATTGACTCGGCTTTGGGATAGAGAGGGGGGGAAATGAAGCTTGCCAGACACACACCACCTACGTCTTAAAGCGTTGCAAACCCCGGAAATGAAATTATAAAGAGTAAAGCTCACGCACAACCAAAACTTAAAGGGGGTGGGTAATCTGCAGGTTTAATGCGTAAAGGGGAGCCCTGGATAAGAGAAATTGTTTAGTGAAGATATTGAAGGAAAAATTTCGTTATTGAAAAATATGTCGATATGTCTAAATGTCGATACATCGGCTGTCGATATATGTGGATTATAATTATACTGTAATTCTTTTTACCTTGATCACAGCAACCGAAGTCAGCAGAGCATGAATTTGTGATGTCGCATTTCAAAAGTGCTGGATCAGCAGAAACAACTGATGTTGAGCTGCTGGATGCAACACCACCATTGTCTGGGTTTGAACTCTGCACCAAGCTCCGCACATCAGAAATTTGCAGATGTATTTCTCCAGCCTGACTGGAACGATCCAACATTAATCCACACTCCCGTTCAAACACTTCCTGCTTCACATTATCATTCTCTTCCACATTTTGATCAGATAAAAGTCCAAATTGTGGTTCGTCTTTAACAACATCAGCCCTTTTCTGAATCGCGTTAGTTTTTTGGTCTCGTTCTTCTTCAGGAAACAAAAACAAAGGCTCTTCTTTAATCTCAACAATGTCAATAAATTTGTTTTCCACCGTCTGTCCGATATCATCAGTTATATTGCATGGTACTTGCACCAAGTTAGAACCAGACTCTTCTTTTACCACAGTCTCCACACTTCTACTTCCAATGTCAGGGGCAACATGATTTTTATTTACTTTATCAGTGCTATCACTGCTACAACGAGACCTAGAAGAACCAGGTCCAGGTTCAGTTTTCACAACAGGAAAAACATCAAGCCCAGGTGTTACATCTTCATATATATTGGTATCTGCACATGAACGTTCACAACACGAATGCAGTTCCTTTTTCATATTGACTTTCATATTACTATTACTAATAGTAGTATTACCATCAATATGACTATAACCTGAGGGAAATGTTGTCTCCTCCCTCTTACTCTTATTTCTATCCGCATTCAACATGTTTAACAATTTGTTTCAAACTTTGTCTTGACTTGATGTCTTGGCTCTAGATATGTCCTTTTAAATGAAAGTAATACCGTTTAATCAGGATTAAATTTTCCCCAATTGGCCAATTGTTTTTTTTTAAAAACAAACCCTGAAGTCCAAGGCCAACTAAGGTTCCAATTCATTCCAGTTCCAGTAGTAAGTCAATAAGACCTGGAACAATAGACTTTATATTCTAGCCCGTTGGCAACGTAGGCTAGACTCCAAAACAACAATCTTCTAAACTAAACTGAGTCCTCGGACTATTTCCTCACCACACCAGTGTCACGAGCACCATTCTCAGGAGTCTCACCCACTGCGGCTCAGTCTAGAATCTATCTGGTCTCGGAGTCACATTGAAGACTGCAGGCACTCACTGGTCACACTTGTACTACACACATCACAATCATTCCAAAATGTTGCAAACAAAATGTTATCTAATATGACGTAAATTCGTCTAATAACGGACGTTGAAAACACAGTGCAAAATTGTCTATTTCAAGCACAAAGAGTCAAAACAGCAGGAACACCACGCAATCACAGTTCCTCCAGCGTTTAGATCTAGTAGGCTATGGATGGAGGGAGTCTTGACGAACCGGATGTGAGGGGGAGGGGTGTGTAAATAAGCTTTAGCAGTATAGAAAGAGAGAAATCGTACCAATACTTTGAAGTCCGTGGATCAAAATTAAATAATTTTGTAATCTGTGGGCATGGTAAATGTTAATATATTACGTAAGAAACAGTTGCAGATGTCCAAATATGATTACGGTTACGTCTAAATTGTTAAACCTAAACTGCCTTAAGGAGCAGGCCCATCTGTTGTTCTGGAGTGTATCCAGGTAAGAATTAAGAGTCTTAAGCATCAGTCCCTTTGCTGGCTTTTGACTTTAGGCCTTGATCTAGATCTAGTCTACTTTAGACTGTACTGTAGGCCTATTTAAGAAAAAATAAGTTGCCTTTTGTATACACTTGGAAAGGCATCCGGCAGATTATGGACAAATTATTGTTCTCTCCCTTTTTACTTTGGTATAGAAATCATCCATAAACTTGAAACACATTTTTGCCTTAGGCCTGCACGTGTTGTTGCCGGTCCATCATTTACAGAAATTTACATTTTACTGTGCTCAGTTTTCATTTTCTATGAGTTAGTCAAAAATGTAATAATGTACGATATAATAATTCGAGTCAGTATTTATATAATAATAAAAATAATGGATTGCATTTATATAGCGCATATCCACTTATGCAATGCTCTATGCGCTTAACATGATACATATTATGGATTTACAAATCAATTTTAAAGGTACATAGTGTTACATACTCGTGCAAACACAATTCACTCACGCACACACGCACCACACACACATACATACACACATACGTACATATTATGCACATACGCACATACAAACTCACAACGATCTATACAGCTTGGATGGATTCTGTCTAATCGAAATATGATGAAAATAGAAATGCGTTTAGTTTCTTCTTTAAAATTTCTAGATTTTCTGCTTTTCTAGAACCCTGGGGAACTCCGTACTTTAGAGGTAACCTATCTGACACATCATTGCCAATTTTGACTGACATAAATCTATTGTCTAGATATGATTTAAACCACATTAGAACAGTACCTGATAGTAAAAATGACTTTTCCAATCTCTCTAGTAAAATTTCGTGGTCGATGGTATCGAACGCCGCTGACAAATTACAAATCAAGCAGAACCAAAACACAGATTTTTTAATTATCGATTTCATTTAAAACATCTGATGATACCTTTAAAAGAGCGGTTTCCGTACTGTGGTGCCTTTTATAAGCAGATTGAAAAGGTTCTCCCATGGTTCTTATATATATTTTCTGTGTCGACTGCAGACTTTCACTTTGATTTATATATCCCATATAATAATTTTATTATATGGGAGATCGAGTGGGGAGAAATGGGCCACCATGGGAGGATTTTTGGAGAAAAAAACCCCGAAAGAACTCAAAAATGAAATAACAAAGGACAAATTATGGTTTATATCAATCAAAGCAACATTTATTGTGTTTAAAAACCAGTTATAAGCAGTACAACAGAGATAGAATGGTGGTTTTATAGGGTGCTGAAGTCGACATATATATATATATACATGTATATATCTGAATTCTAAATGTGGGTGGGAGTAATATGGCTCAGATGGTGTCATTAGATTTCTATATGATGAGCTGAGGAAAACATGTCTTCTACTGCTGGTTTACAAAGTGTGGACTCTTTTTTTTTGCCCTTTCCTCTGAAAAAAATCTTCTCCGACATCGATCTTCGTCTCATTCTTTAACAACAACCCCAACATAATAAAACGAGGTGGTTTTTATTGAGAACTCACACAACATATGCCACCGCTCTGCTGATGTTATCCGGCCCAACTGCTATAGTTTACTCGTAGTACCACGCACCACGAGGTACAATGTCTTTTGGGACTTTGTGAACTGTTGTGATTCCTGTTTGGTCAAGATTGAGTATCTGAGCTGCAGAGACACCCAGGTTACTATCTTGGATTAAAGAGCCCGCTGCTAGTTGAAAAACGTTACACAGAATGTCTGCTGAAGGCTGTGGCTCTTGCCTATGGGGTAGTCCTCTGGTTGTCGCAAACCGAGTTGCCGGTGTCTCCAGATAAAGCCCATATGCCACTCCTTTCTGAAACATTTTGCATCATCCCACAAAGATTGGTACGAAAGGTCTTAGTCTTAGGTGATTTGCAACAGTGATTTCATAGACGAGATTTCTGTAGTTAGCAATAATTGTCGAACGATAGAATTTTGGCACACTTCAACATGCACTGCGCCAATTCAGCCTCCTATTCTACTGTGAATACTTTCATGTGAAATATATTATGAAATATACCTCTGATGCTATTAAAAATTAAAAATAAAAACAATTTTTAAATTCTATAAGCCAAATACAAATGTATCCCCTGATCGCCACTATCTAGACTAGCTGTGGAGCCACAGAAGGTGATCGAATTGCTGCCAATGCACCCACACATATGCACGATTTTGTTAATGTTATTTCCAAGAGTACTTTTAATTAACCTCTTACCTCATTATTATTATAGTAAACTATGCTTCAGTAAAGTGTGCTCATGGGACGCAATATATGACAATAATTTTATTTGCCTGGAGCAAGACACATACTAGATCTACATATTAATATAATGTCATATTCAGTCCAAGCCAAAGTCCTGTTTTTTTTCTTTCTTTCTTTTTGTGGGGGAAAAAAGGGGGGGGGGTCAATTTTGATTTTCTTTCATTACAATTACAAGCTGTCTCAATCTAATCTAGCGAAACTGACCATAATTATTGCCTCGGCCTAGTTCAAAGCGGAACCTGTCCGAGAAGCAGTAATTAGACAGTAAAATTGAAGTACCTCTACCTTGACGGTTTCTCGGTTCGCCCAAACATTTCAGCTCACTGGAAATTTCAGAGATAGACAAAGAATAGAACAGACAATAGTTGCCACCCCTGCTCAAAACGGACGCATTTTGATGTCTCATATTATAGCCTATGAAATTATTTCCTTCACGCAACAGTAACAGATCAAGACATAATATGTAGTACCGTGCGCAAGGAGTGCGTTGAAATGTTTTTTTAGTAGTGTTTTTTTCACCGCTGTAAGGCACTGTGCTCGTAAGCTCAGGACTTTTACAGATTTAGATTTAGATTTAGAAAGCCTCATTTCGGATTGATCAGCGAATCTACAACGGTAGCGCCTTCTTCATTGGCCTAAACAACACAGAAGAACCACTGCCCCCCCCCCCCCCCCCCCCCCCCCTTACGTTGCACTACGACAGTCCGTTCCGGGACAGGACCCGTCTGGAAATGGAAACCTTTGAACTGGAGTGTAATGTACCGCACCTATCGGGACAAGACAGTTTTATCGCACCGAGTCCGGAGCAGTTATGAATTGCTACAAAATCAGTGGGACAGGACTATCCCATTCCCGGGTAGCATCGTCTGTGATTTGTAACAGAAACTTGGCAGTGATCAATCAAACTCCCCCCCCCCCCCCCCCCCCAAAGCGCTTTGAAGTGTAATTAAAATTAATATGAACCTGGCTATAACGGGGTTCTATTTGCGAAGACTCGGATATATCAGTGATATTGCAGCGCATGAACTTGCTTTCGATCCGTTTAATTATTAAAATTTGTCTCAGCCAAGACATTTCGTCTGTTTGTATTATCTTTTTTTTTTTGGTCAGAGTTTTACGGCGCTCGCAACTGCATAAGGTCATGTGAGTCCAATATGAGGGCGCGGGACACACCAAACATTTTCGGTAGGTAGGAAATTTGAATTTTTCCCGAGGCCGAAGCCTACTCTTTATCGATTTTATACCACTAAGGAATCTTGAACGTGCGCAACTTGCACACGGGACCTCAGAGTCAGAGATTTTTCGCCCTTGTCCGAGAAGGCTAGATGTAGACCTTTCCTACCAGAAGATCAGGGGTGTGACTGAAAGACAGTACAATGGAATCCTGTTATAACGAGAGGGAGGGGACCGGAGTGAAAAGTCCGTTATACCCGGATTCTCGTTATAAGGAATCCAGTAATAAATTCAATGGAAATAATAAAGTGGGTATAATCTAGCAGTTTGGTGTTCTGTTTATTTCTTTTTGTTATCTCCCCTGATGATGACATAGTTCAACATGACCTCTAGCCTCTAGGTCTTACTTGATCAAAAATCAAATCGGGTTTCTTTCTCAAGCGCTACCGATGTTGACAGCACGGCGTTGGCGATCAGAAAGAATGAGCTCTGGGCTAACTCGCCCGCTGTGTTGTCCCCCACCCCAACACACCATGTGGTGTGTTTCGTCTGCTTGCGCACGTTACTACACATTCACTCTATCCATCACAGCATTGTGACCTCTCTATCCCCGCATCGGAGAAGTGAGGAAATGGGGAGAGGTTGGCCTAGATAATCTAGACTAGGCTGGCGTATCACACGATGCGTTCTTCTTGTCTGCGCTTACCACACCCTCCCCATCCATTCGCCCCGGCCTTCATTGTTGGCAAACGTGGGCTCTCCTATTCTTTGTTTCGCTCAAGGAGTTGATGTAAGGTCCTAGGTTTCGCTAGATCACCAACAAGTTTCTCAACTGGCGAGGCTTATATGTATAACTGGCCTGTGCGCTGTTCACAGCAGCAGCAATATTCCGCTATATAACCGACTCCTGTGTGTGTCCGATTGCGCTATAGCAGTATTTTATTTACAAAGATAAAGAAGGGGAAAAAACGGGGTTTTAGTAGTGTCTTTATAACAGACTTCTCGTTGTTTCAGGGCTCGTTATAAGTGGACTCCACTGAAGTAAGAAGGCGCAAAGAGTAACAGTAACAGTAGAAAGGCTGCAGAAAGAGTCAGGAGCCCAGAGGAGGGGGCAAAGGGGGTGAGTGGGAGGGGGCAGAAAGTGGAGACGGAAGCAGATGACGGAACATTTCTAGAGTACAGGAAAGGAGGTGAAAGGAGACAATTTTACCCGGATTCGAACCTTGGACCTTCGACTTTGAATGAGGGGCAAACACCTTAACCTCTAGGCCACGAGAACCCCCTTTGAAAGATCGCTTGCTGTAAAGTAAACATGACATAAACTTTTAAACACATAGAAAGCTGAAGGTGCAATGGTACATGTACTGGTAGTTTCCCTTGATAACGGTTATCAGGACTCGCTTATAACAGGGAAAAACGGCCGGTCCCGTTATATCCGAGTTTGACTATTTGTGCAGTGGGAAAGTAAATCATGTTTGTACAAGGCTGATGTTGACTATTGTAATCGAAATTGAAGTAAAAGCCAAGGCATAGATTGTTTGTTTTAGTACGTATTTTACGGCACTTGCAACACAATAAGGTCATATAAGTGCCGAAGATTAGATGTGTTACAAGAGAGTAACAAACACAAAAAAAGAAGGAGGAGAGATAAAGACGATAGATGTTGGATAGGAAAGAAGAAGCAAACCACACCAGAGCACCCGCCAACCACCCACAAGGCATAGATAGAAGTACATGTACATGTTATGTGAAACAATCGTCTCGGGATGGGAAGGTCTGTCTGATCAGGACAGAAAACTTGAAAATAAACAGTGGTCAAAGCTTTCAATGCCCATTTCGTAGTAGTAGTAGTAGCTGAAAAAAAAATTAGGATAACAACGGAGGTCACCATAAAGCCTACGGAATTGAGCCGAGAGTAATCTCAAATACTGTTTTCTCTTCTTTTTTTTTTTCTAATACGAAGCAACAGAGCACAGACACATGCAAGCTCGATTTCGCCCATCTTGAACTTGAAGATCAGATGCAATCTAGGCCATGAGCGGGCCGAATGGTGAAAAAATATCAAAACACACAAAAATAACTTAATCGGGCATTAACTTGCGTTCCTCGCGCGATTTTTTGCTAATTTATTTTGAGTCGTTGATCACGAAAATCTTATTATTTTTTAAAATTTGGACTATATAAAGGACATTTTTGGAATACAATTTTTTTCACAATTCCGATTATTTTTCTTTATCATTCTTTGATGAAATTAACAGAAACGCATAGTTTTACATTTTTGGGCTCAGTTAGCATAATTTCATAATTTTTCTTGCATAAAACGACGGGGACAGAACAATTACACCACGCTTAAGTCTTTATTTCACTAGTCTTGCCTAAGGCCTATCATGTAATACACTTTAATTTAGAATACAATGTGTAGTGTACTGCTGATTGGCCCCATCAATCAGCGGAAACATAGTATGCGTCTGCAAGCTATGGACCCCCCTCTACTAAATTATCTCGTCAAGGCCGAGTTGGTGTTTTCGGCATCATTCCATCCAAACTTCATTATCTCATTACAACAGAGGTTGGAATTTTCTCATCAAGTTCCATCCAAGATGTTTACATTACATTTTAAAAAATTAATACCCCCAGATTTGTATCTCTCTCACTGATCTACTAAAGTCCATGGTACCAAATTTGCCTCATAGAACTAATCTAGTTTATTATTTGCTGTTTCATTTGCCTAGTCAAAGTCAATGGTGTTGGTCTGGATTTGGCACCTTCCACACGAGTCTTCCTCCTTACTTTAAACGTATAATTTTTTACAGTTTATTCAGTATCAAATTTTTCGTTGTAATATATATATTTAAAAAATAATTATTAAGGCCTTTCATTAATTTATAACTTTTGGCCCAGTGCACTGATCAACCGTCTTGGGCACAAAGTGATAGAGTTTGCAAATGATGATAAAAACAATTTTTTCCTTTGTTTTAGTAAGTGTTTTACGGCACTTGACTTGCAACATAATAAGGTCATATAAGTGCTAAAGAATTGATGTGTTACAAGAGAGTAACATACACAAAAAAGGAGGGGAGATAAAGACGATAGATGTTTGATAGTAAAAAAAGCAAACCATACCAGAGCACCCGCCAACCACCCACAATTTTTTTCATTATCTAAGGCTCACACAAACGTTATGTACTATGTACCCCTTAGCAAAAGAAGAAAAACCCTGTATTGAAAAGAAATGATTTGGTCATTTCTAAAGCGGAGGACTGAATCCGAAACAGTGGCTCAATTACAACAAAGTTTTCGCCGTGAGAAATTAGTGGCCGAATAAATTAGCCGTCCACACTTGAAGTTCGACAAACAAGCAGGGACTACTGTTATATACAACAGTACAATTACTTATGTGCCACTGCACAACACAAACATAAGAAGAGGAGCCCTAGATCACAAGCAAGACGTAAACCACCAATTTTTGCATGACATATGTTTCGTTTATTGCAAAACTCTACACAGAGCAATTAATGCTTAGCGGATCATATACTTGTGCTTGACTTAAGTAATTGGAAATGTAACTTTTCCTGCTTTACATTATTAGAAAGCAAAGTCTAGAAAAATGGCAAATCTGTCATGTAAAAGGATGCTGAAATAACAAAAGATTCAACACCCCTTAACACATTACACCCTAACTCACCCGGGAATTCCCTTACGCGCTCCACCCTGACTCGCCCGGAACCGCCCGCGCCGACCCAGCGTCTTTAGAAACGAAAGTCTCGCCTTGACGAGACTCTGGGGCCGGGATTTTGATTTGCATAGTTCAGCAAAAAGTTTCTTCTTTCGTTTGATACCGAAACGACATTTTTCGGGCCAGTAGTTTTAGTATTAGAGCTGATCGAAGTGCGATCGCGTTACCAACACTTCGAAAGTGTCTCGACTTGTTGAAAAGCGACACAATTGAGTTCGAAAACGGAAATAACGATGGATTTGAGCAAAAACGAGCATGTGACAAATCAGATGGCTCAGATTTTGATGAAAATGTTATAGGAAGAGTTTGGGGCGATTCCGATTGATCAGACGGAGAAAATCTAGAATTTAGATCTAGGGCCCGACCGCGAGGCTGAGAGTGAGAGTGACTGGTCGGACACCCCGATTGAAATAAAGTTAGAACATTTCCAACAGTTTGCGCATACAGAAAGTTATATTTTTCTGAAACTACATTCAGTTTTCTTTTTAACTTCTATTTTTTCAGGATTTTTGGAATTTGTTTAGTATTTTTTTAAAGTGTTTTTTAAAGGCTAGTATTCACGGGAGGTGGGTTCTTTCCCCTTGCTTAGGATCTAACAATGGACTTTCCGTCCAGGCCCTTAGGGTGTAATGTGTTAATAATAGCTTTACTCATAATTTCATTACAACATTTGGGCTAAAGCCTGATTCAGCCTACCTGCACGAGATGACAAGTGACTAGTTCATTTTATATTTCAAAATAAAAAAGCAAAGCAAGCAAAAATGCCCCAAAATAATGACAGATATTTATATAACATCGGTACTTTTGTGTTTTTCTCAGGACTTAAATTACCACTTTTGTACACAATTTGTTCAGGAAATGAAGCAAGCATATTTCAGGATTATGGGAACCCCCCCCCCCAAAAAACACAAAAAACAAAACGCTAATCAAACTGGCATGTTCATGAAATGAAAAGAGCACAGTCAGTCTATTATCAAAAGAGGAAAACATAGCCACATGAAGATGAAAACAAGCAATCACATCACACACACACACTCACGCACACGTATATATATATATATATATATGATCACTAATGACGATTGAACTGAATGTACAGGCAGGGGAAGGTTTTGCTGTGATTCCTAGATATATCCATGTATACAAAAGCAAACATTGGGGACACTAATAAGTTTAAGATTTCGCCTCCTTCTCTGCTTGCCGTCTCTTTACGTCCCAGTTGTAAACCCGAGCCATATCTGGAGGACAGGTTAAGGAGAAACAACAGAAATGTAGATACATAGGAATGATAAAACAACTCTCTAATTGAATATATATTGAAAACCTCGAAATGTTATAACAAAAATATAACACTAACACCCCCCCCCCCCCCCCCCCCCAACCAAAAAAAAATCCCCAGTAATGAGAAACAAAGAAAACACACTATGTAGAACTATGTTGTTAAAACATTATGTAATTTGTTCCTTGGAACTATGGGTGAAATTTGCCAGATGATTTAGCAGTGTGCATATTCAAAGTATAATTCTGATCTTTTACGTTTTTGTGAGAGCATAATGCTTGAATTCAAGGGTGGCAATAGTGTTTCAGAGGTTCGTTTCCTTTTGTTATAAAATACTGGAGCCTCAGACAACAGACCAGCACCATAGAGAGCTAGACACAGGACATGTTCGTTTTAGCAAGGTTTTACAGCACCCGCAACTGCATAACGTCATATGAGCGCCAAGGGGTGGATGTCAACAGAGAAGTCCAAACGGGGAATCGGGCTTACCTGCTCACATCTCTAGCCTAAACAGCACAAGTCTGCTTCAACACCCCGGAAATAGCAGTTAACTAGAGAGAGTGACAAACATACAAAAGAAGTAGAGGCAAAATGGGGACGATAATAAGTTTGAGGAAAGAAAAAGCAGCAGTTCCCCCTATGCTGTTCCGGCACAGTATGAGCATGACAATGATAAATCAGCAGATTTACAATTCTACTGTGCATAAGAACATGTTAATATCCCCCCTTTGGGAATGGCCTAAAGACAACTTCAGTCAGTAGCACCAGGGTCAGACACAGGACAGAAGGAACTGATTTAAAAGAGAACATTATAGCCTTAACCTAGTTGGAGTAAAGTGAAGGACATGGACACCATAATGGTAATTCAGTACAGTGAAAAAGCAAGAAATACGTAGAGAAAAAAAATGGAGAGAAAAGAAGTAGGACCAACGAGTGCTGCTCTCCTACTAGCGACAAACAATTTAATAACTGTAAGATGAAAAAAAAATACCTCGGTGACATGAATCACAAAGACAATTGCTAGAATCTCTTAACCCTATCCGTACGCCTGGAGTCATTTTGTACCCCAGGGGTTGTATTCTTCACATTTTAGAATACTTCTAGTGCGAAGATCTCTTTGAAACTTTCAGTATTTCTCAAAAAATCATTTTGACAGACAGCTATGCAAAGCTCCCTCATTGCGTGCTGCTGGATAGGTTTGTTTTGTTTAGTATAGGGTTTTACGGCGCTCGCAACTGCATAAGGTCATATGAGCGCGCGGGACACACTAATACTTTTTCGTTGGTAGGAAATTTTGAATTTTGCCCGGGTGGCGGCCGAAGCCTACTCTAATCGATTTTAGACCACCAAGCGATCTTTAACGTCCGCAACTTGCACACGGGCCCTCCAAGATTTTTCGCCCTTGTCCGAGAAGGCTAGGTGTAGATCTTTCCTACCAGAAGATCAGGGGTGTGGCAGAAAGACAGCAGTTAGGAGGAGCCAAGGAGTAGCAGTAGAAAGGCTGCAGAAAGAGTCAGGAGCCCAGAGGAGGGGGCAAAGGAGGTGAAGGGGTGGGGGCAGAAAGTGGAAATGAAAGCAGACAACAGAACATTGTTAGAGATCAGGAAAGGATGTGAAAGGAGACAATTTTAGAGAAGAAAATTTTTTGGTCGCTACCCGGAATCGAACCCGGGACCTTTGAATGAGAGGCCAATACCTTAACTCATTCGCTACATATTATTTTCGGCTTGTGGACGAATTCTTTTCGGGAGGGCGAAATGAGATGATGACTAGTGCGCAGTTCACAGGTCTTTGGGGCCATAAATTCAAATAAATATCAACATATTATATACCCACATTTTCAGTATGGTTTGTAGAATACATCTGCATGATCTATTTGCGTATTTTTCAACTTTGGTTCCTGTAAGAGGCGATTATGCAACACAATTGTGATTGGATGCGGATAAAATTGGAAAATAAAAAATTTATAATCTCAGGTGAAACTAAAAAAATATGTTTGCACCTAGTCAAATGATACCTCAAAATAACCATAACTGTATATAGAACAGGAAAATATTGAAAAATGTGCAGTTATTTACATACATTCCATAATATTTGTACATTTGGATCAAAGCATCCGATATTGGAAAAAATTAAAAAAAAAAAAATTTTGAAAAAAGGATCACAAACAGAAAAAAATACGCGTAACTTATATGGAATTATTCAGAATTGCATTTGGAATAAACCTATACATGTCTTGAGTGGTACTTTTTGATTAATTTCACCCAAAAGTAGCGATTTTGGGGAGAAAAAAATATTTTGACTATTTAGATCTAGGCCTAGATCTAGCACTCAAAAATATTGATTTCTCAATTAGAGTGCACCGGCAATTTGCGTCCAATAGTATCAATATTATAAAGAAGAGTCCAACACTTCTTTAGTGAGCAAAATAATGATACATTTTGTTGTGTTAAAGTACTAAGACTGGTGCCTGGGCTATAATTTGGGCTTCGCGATAAAACAAAGTCGAATAAACTACGAAATCATGTTTCAAAACTGAATCAAAACTTCCGATTTTTGGTGGAAACGCTTGACCCGGAAGTCAACATTATATTATGACCTTTATTTTAACATGGATATGTGGATTGGAATAGAAACCAAGCTAAAATTGAACGTCGGTTCTCGAGCCGCCGGAGGCGGCTTAGCGTACTGACGGCACTTGAGCCGCGCCGCCCCCACGGCTCGGCTCAGCGAATGAGTTAACCTCTAGGCCACAAGAGCCCTCTGGATATGTTTAGAAAAAAAATTGTATAAATTTATACTTTTATTCTGTACATGTTCATTTTGTGAAAAGAAATCGGTGCTGTATATTGAAGAAACGTCAGTATATCATTATTCAGGAGGATACACATTCCATTGGATACAAAAAGTCAAGAATGCAGGGAAGCGTTTTTGCTATCATGCTCATGACAAGTTCTATGTTCGTGCTGGAAACAAAATTTTGAGGGAGTCAATTTCTAAACACATTTTCCAGTCTTATGTGGCAGTTTTGTGAATATTTATAATAGACCTGCATGTGAGCCTCAACCAGATTGTCTGAAAATTTTGCGCAACCCCCCCCCCCCCCCAAGGAGCTTTTGTGGGTGTCATAAGTCATAAGGAAGGACTTTCGAGTAACGAGTGACCACCCCAAAAAACACAACAAAGAAGAGACCTAACCCTAACCCTACGTCTACCCCAAAAAAGAACCTGCAACGAGCCTAATGTGAAAAGGCCAGCAAAAGTTAAAAAAAAATTAAAAATTAAAAATTAAAAAACCACACTCCAAAATAAACAAGGCTTACAAGGAGCATAATATAATGGCCTACATCTAGATCTACATATATATTGCTAGATCTATAATAATAGGGTTTGATACAGTAAGTAACACAATAGAATTGGAATATGAATCCTCCATATATAGATCTAGAGCTAGTAAACTAAATAAATCTAGATCTAGATCTAGTAGAACAAGTGAATAGGATCTAGGAATAGGCCTTGGCCTTGAACTAGAAATCTGCATCCGATTCCGAACAGGGGGGCTCAGCTGAGTCTAGATTCTAAATAAATAAATAATTCACGCACCTGATGAAATGCCTTTTACCAACATTAATATTACAGCACAGCCTATGATAGGGTTGGACAAAATAGAATTGGAATATGAATCCTCCATTGAGGTCTATAATGATCTCTATATAAATCTAGATCTAGATGTCTAGATCTAGATCTAGATGTCTAGATCTAGATCTAGATGTCTAGATCTAGATCTAGATTCTATTTATCTAGAATCTAAATCTAAGTGAGTTGGACTGGAATTAATTCACACGATCTGAACAATTGAATTTGTCAACAAAACGAAATTCAAAATGGCCGGTCGAGCACGAAACAAAGTAGATAATTTAGGTCGTCGTCCTTTTTCGTATTCGCATTTCTACTCAGGTTCCGACAATTATGTCGGAAACGCCGACGTCGGCAGTCGGTGGTCGGCACGAACACGAAAGTGCCGACAAAGCCGACGGGAGAAAAGGGGGACGCTGGCAGTCGGCCAGGCCTCGCACTTCGCACATTGACTGATACAGGTGGGCCTAGCGATAGCATCGGCCGCCTCGCGGGTCGGGTCGCGATTATCGGATTTCAGACGATTGTCGGCAAACATGCAGGTATATTATAAGTTATTAGCCACTCAATATGTGTTTGTTGTTTTGACTAACTATAAATAGACATACATTTTAAGAGCATATAACTCCATAACGTGAGCAGCCATGGCATTGCTATTTCGTACCAATAAAGTAGTTAAGTTGCTTTCTCTACAGAACAAACTTGTTTTCATGTATGATATTTTTTGTTTGTGTAAGACGATAAAACATGTGTTGAAAAATTCATTTCACCGGCTACCGGTGCAGGTAGCGGGAGGTCGGGTTAGTGACCTCTGGGTGACCGGCCCGCCATGACCCGGTCACACCATCGCCGAGCCAACTATAATAGCGGTGTTTGTACGCCATGCACGACACATTTAGCCTCCGTCAGAAAAAAAAAACTACTGCCATAATTACTGGGAGTAGCATGCGTTTAACAGCCTTAAATCCTGAACAGGAAGCGGCAGGGTTTTTAAATTTCGGTAACAGTTTTCATCACTTGCAACAGAAATAGGTCATACAACTGCCGAAGACTAGGGTGTTTTTTTTTTAATTAAAGGTTTTACTAGAAAGTAGCATAAAAAGAAAAGAAGAAGGAGAGATAAGGATGATAGATGTTTGATAGGTAAGAAGGAGCAAGCCACACCGAACCAGATTGTCTGAAAATTTTGCGCAACCCCCCCCCCCCCCCCCCCCCAAAAAAAAGCCTTAGTGGGTGTCATAAGGAAGGACATCCGAGTAACGAGCGACCACCCCAACAAACACAATAAAGAAGAGACCTAACCCTAACCCTACCCCAAAAAGAACCTGCATCGGGCCTCATCTTAAAGGGATTCGCATGTAAAAAGGCCAAAACAAGTACTAAATGAAAAAAAAAATTTAATTAAAAAACCACACTCCAAAACAAACAAGGAGCATATAGATTCTAGATCTAGATCTAGATCTAAATTTTTATCAATATGGCTTACATCTACATTGCTATAGGGTTTGATACAATAACACAATAGAATTGGAATATGAATCCTCCATATAGACTATAGATCTAGATCTAGATATCTAGATCTACTAGACTAGTAATCTAAAAAATAAATCTAGATCTAGATCTAGATATAGAAAAATCTAGATCTAGATCCTGAAGAACAAGTGAATAGGAATAGATTCTAGGCTTTGAACTAGAAATCCGCATCCGATTCCGAACAGAGGGACTCAGCTGAGTCTAGATTCTAGATCTAGATCTATATCTAGATATCTAACTAGATCTAGATCTAGAATCTAGACTATAGATCTAAATATAATAATAATAATAAATAATTCACGCACCTGATGAAATGCTTATTTTTACCAATATTAATATTACAGCACAACCTATGATAGGGTTTGACACAATAGAATTGGATTATGAATCCTCCATTGAGGTCTATAATGATCTCTATATAAATCTAGATCTAGATTCTATTAGAACAAGAGAGTCGGACTTGAATGAACCCACACGATCTGAACAATTGAATTAGTCAACAAACGAAATTGAAAATGGCCGCTCGAGCACGAAACTGAAAGTAGATAATTTAAGTTGTCGTCCTTTTTCGTATTCGCATTTCTACTTAGGTTCCGACAATTATGTCGGAAACGCCGACGTCGGCAGTCGGCGGTGCGCGCGTCGACGGTCGGCACGAAAACGAAAGTGCCGACGAAGCCGACGGGAGAAAAAGGGGTCGCTGGCAGTCGGCCAGGCCTCGCACTACGCACATTGACTGATACTAGGCGGGCCTAGCGATAGCATCGGCCGGTTCGCGGGTCGGGTCGCGATTGTCGGATTTCAGACGATTGTCGGCAAACATGCAGGTCTAAAATAAATTATTAGTAATCGCATAAATAAGTATTTACTAGATACATGAACAGTTTACCACCACCCCCCTCCCCCCATTTTAAGGCATTGTTGCTTCAACTTCGGCAAAGGATACTGACTTCCAGCGTCGTCATTTGATCACGAATAAATAAAAGGTCATCTTCCACTTGACTGAGAGATTTTTTGGCAGCATCCAAATTTTTTGCCAATACTTCATCTGCTTCTTCAATTTCATACTCCAGCATTACATTTGCCTGCAAAAAAAAAAAGACAAAAATATAAAAACAAAAAAGTACAATCCTTAGACAAGGACAAGAAAAGTGCATGAAAATATATATATACGTAAAAACAAAAAATGCTTCAAATGTTGCCCTTATAATTTATTTCAGTGTTGATAACAGCGAAATGAAAGAACATTTTGAAACATAACATACTTATTGACAGCTAAATGCTGATGCAGCCCCACTCCCAAACAGTGCTTACGCCTCTAAACAAACTGATTTAGAATTGAGAAAAGTTCTTATTTCATTCTTTTGACAGCCTTCATTCCAATTTTATTAAGTCCTGTCCCATAATATACAAATGGAGATTCCAGAGTGAGCAAATGATTTTAGGAGATCATATCTACCCATTCAATTCCTAAATCATTTCTCTCTTCTCCATGAGTTATATGTTTCACTTTTTTCCAGAGAAACCTTGCAAATTCTCCTGTAGTAATTGGTATAGTATTACATTTATTCAATCTGTAACAAGAAGAAACAAGACCATACAGTATAAAATGGATAGGTCAAACACAGGAGACTCCAAATCATGTATCCGTCGAACTGTGCCCGCAGTCCCATTTTTTTTTCTTTTCTTCTTCTTCTTTATCTTTGTAAAATATCTCTCGAACTATAGATCTCTCGAACTTCCGAGGCCGGTCCTGATGAATTTGAGCTATCCGTGTTATACTGGAAACAGAATTCCAGGAATACAAAACGAAAAGGCCTAAGTCTATCAGACAGTGCAAAATGATTACTGTCCAACTCTAAACTGTAGCTATTGTGTCACGGTCAGACAAACTACCCAGAAAGGACAACTAAACATTCCAAAATACCACGTGATTTTTTTTTCTTGAAAAAATACAAAAATATCTTTAGAGTTTGTCAAGATCACATGAACGGCACACTATCCACTTTTTCACACATTCTGCAAGGCAAACCATAGCTCTTGTTACTGTTCTATCTTGACAAACACTCCAGCAATTATAGCGAGCGCACTTACCCCTAACCAGAGACAAACTTTTTCAGTGGGTGGCACAACAGCTTTTGCATACACATTATCTGACAACAGAAATCTTGTGGAGAAGGGCTCTGTATTATCCTGTGACAAGAATGAAAACAAAGAGAAAACGTAAGAAAAACAAGTGGACCCCGTAAAACACATCAAAACAATTCTATAGCCAAAGCAAACATCGGGGGGGGGAGGGGGCCCTACCTCTTGCAGGGCCGTGAATTAACAAATCAAAAACACTTCAAGGAGTAGATTACAAAATGATGAGTAAACTTTTAACACATAAAGAGTATCACTTTCTAAATGTAAAATTTTTAGAAATCAGTAGGCTTCTATGAGACAAAAAAGCTGTAAGCTATAATAAGTGATGTCGTTCACCACTTAAAATCACAATATTTAAACAGACCCATTTTTAACCAAACATTATGACAAATGGATCCCAGACAAAAGTTGTTCCCATTCAGGTTCATCAGCAAAGGCAATTATTCCTGAAACCCCCCC